CCTCCAACAACATATGATTAAGACAAGATTGGAATAGTTTAGTTATTTTCCACTATTTTCCTGTTAATGATATCCATTATATGAAATAACTAAAGTATCAAAACATCGATATTTTGATTTTAGTATCGATTCCAGAACAYAAAGTTCTGGTGTCGATAGTATCGATATTTCAGTATCGATCTGCACATCACTAGCCTGGGCTGCAAGAAAGAAAATTTTAGGAATTTTACCACATTTACTTTAAAAATATATATATATTTTGCGCAATAAATATGTTTTTTTTTTCTGGCCTTTGATTTTACTCTGCCAAAATTTTAGGAACCTGTATTCAATGTTTTTCAGTGTCAAATTTTTAATTTTCTTATGTTTGATTATTTGGTACCGAGCCTATCTGCTGACACTGGATAAAAATWAATTAATGCGTGGCCACAAGATAATTTTTGCAGTCATTTCCATGCAGACACTGTTGATTGTTAACATGGACGTGTTTAAATTATTTTAATTTGATTTTAAAATAGAGTAATTCTTATGTTGCAGCTATAAGACACAGGTGACCACCGTAGTTGTTTTGTCTAAAAAGCTTTATTTGCTGCAGAAACAGTCATGTTATAKTATGTCAGGGTCAGGAACAAAATTTAAAAAAACATTTCCCAGCTCACATTTAGGGCATTTAATGTCACCTCATAAATACTAGTACTATGACAAAAATAACTGCTTAGACTGAACTATGGACGTACACACTTTTGATTGAACACACCAAAAATTAAATAAAATAAATGTGAGGTACCTTTGAATAGTTAAACACACAAACAGCATATTTAATCCAACTCCAACAATGTCTGCATCTCTCACAAAGAGACGCAGCTGCTCAAAATGATCTCTSATGGCCAAGCATAACTTTTTAATCCACTGTCACCGGACGGACGGACTCGGTAACTTAATGTTATTTATAGTATTATTGACTCTGAAAACCAACAACTGAATATACGTTACTGAAAACTGGACGAGTTGAATTCAAAGGTAAACATTTTAAATAGATGCTCTGTATTTACACAGAGATAAAACACTTGGTTCAAACTGGAAACGCAAGAAAAAATAGTTTTCGAGAGCAGTTTGTTTTGGTCTTGGCCTCGCAGAAACTAGCCATCGGCACATAGTTTTAGTCAAAGTCAAATTTCTTCAAACTGATGTTTTTATTTGTTCATATTCTACACAGAAACTCATTTTGAGACATGTTTAGCTTTTTTCCTCTTAACTACGTATAATGTTCTATGTTACCTTTAGTACAGTTAGGCTTCCAGAACTGATGAGCTAATGGCTAGTCAGAACCAAAAGCAATGAAGCAGCAATYCACCCTGGTAGTTTTGTCAAACTTAAACTCTATTTCCCCAAACTGGGGGTTTTCATAAAGCTATCTGCAGCAGGTAAGATATTAACTCTTTATAGCATCATTACTCTCTTCAAAATGTCTGAAACTGCCTGTCACTGATGTGTTTTAGCTTTAAAGTGATTTAAAAAAATAAAATGTGTGATTATTTTTACATGAGTTATTTGGATACTGTTATTT